GGGCAGTCCCCAGCAACCCCCCCCCTGCCAGTGACACCCACTTACCCAGCACCTCTCTGTAATCGACGCCAGGGCGCTGAGTGGTGATGGTAGCGTTGCTGCGGCTGGGCTGCACCAGCAGCTCCAAGTTCTCTGTCCCTGCAGGGAGAGGTGAGGTGGGTGGGGGGCAGTGCCGTGGAGGGCCAAGGGACAGCAGGGTGCCCAGTGAGTGTGGCACTTACCCCTCCTCTTCTTCCAGCGCCAGCGGAACAGCATGGCAGCCAGGATGCAGCAGACCAGGAAGATGATGCCGATGCCCAGGGCCAGGCTGGCAGCCAGGTCCAGCGAGATGGGGGGCGATAGCACCCAGCCCACTGCCTTACAGGCACCATTCACACAGATCTGGAGGAGCAGAGGCTCAGCAGCCATGGGGTGGAGGACCTAGGAAGGTCATTGTCCACCCAGGGGGTGCCTACCTCCACAGATGCTCCAGTGGGGGGCAGGCGCAGCCCGTGGGGCAGGCGGCACGTCACCTCATTCTTCAGGACATTGGGGTGGCAGTCCTGGCCCCCCACCATCATGGTGATGTTCATGCAAGCAGCCACAGCATCCAGCCCCAATTGCTGCACAGACACAATGCCCTCAGCCTGGGGGTCCCAGCAGTGGGACCCCCTACCATGGCTCACCCCCTGCCCCACATACATGAACCTCGATCTCATCGTCGCCTGGCTTGAGGCGGAGGCGCCTGCCCTCCTGCTCCAAGGGGAAGACCTCAGGCTGGGAGTAGTAGCGAAGGCGGAAGAGCCAGCGGCCGTCGGTGCCATCCAGCAGCACGCTCAGGTTCCCCAGTGCTGTGTCCACCTTGCTCTCGAAGGGAAAGGCTGGGCTGCGGCACCGCAGCCAGTCGTGTGCCTGTGGTTCCTCGCACTCCTGCAGGCAGAGGGATGCTTGGCACTGGCAGGGCTTGGGCCCCACGGGATTGGGTTGGGCAGGGCAGGGCCCCACCCACTCAGGAGCTTACTGTGGTTTGGGTAATCACGCCGTTGGCTTCAAAGCGAATCTTGGTGCGATACACTGAGTCCAGGTGGGTGCCAATGATAGTCAGCATCGAGCCCCTGTGGTGGGCAGGGATCAGGGTCCCAAGGTGTGCACAGTACCCAGGGTGCATGTGGTCCCTGGGGCATATGTGGCCCCCAACATGCACATGGTCCCCAAGGTGCCTGTGGTCTCTGGGGTACATGCGGTCCCCAGCACCTCGTCCAGCCTGGCCAGGGCAGTAGGAGGCCAGGGCTGTCCCCCCACCCAAAGGAAGGGTGCCCATGTGCTCACTCATAGCTGCAGCTGGGAGTGATGGCTGACACAGAGGGGTCAGGGCGGTACTGGAAGGGCAGAGGGGCTAGGAACTCCTCCCCGTCAATCCACAGGGCCACCTGGGCTGCACCCATGCCACCGGCGGCAGGAGCTGTGCATTGAATTGTCCCATTGTCCTGCCTGGGGACACAATAGCCATGGCTGAGGGGAGAGCAGGATGGTTCCCTGTACCCACTCCTGTGCTGAGGACCCAACTGTGCCCTGTGGGGACAGGGCAAGGGTGTACCTGGGCTGCCTGGTCAGGGTGCACTCGGAACCATTGATCATCACCCGCCAGCTGCTCCCTGCCGAGAGGTCTGTGCCATGGAGTGAGAGGTGGGTGCCACCCCCTTGGGGGCCAAACTGGGGGTGCAGGGCACTGATATGGGGCTCCTGAGCAGAGATGGAGTCAATGGAGTGGGTGGGTGAGCCAAAACCCCCCAAACCCTGCCAGGGGGCAGCTGGAGTGACTGCTAATGCAGGGCCATACCACGAAGATGAAGCCACTGAGGGTGGCGGAGCCATGGACACGGAAGCCGGAGGGTCTAGTG